AAATGTCCATTCTCCCCAAAGCAATCTACAGATTCAATGCAATCCCCATCAAAATACCAATGGCATTCTTCACAGAAATAGAAAAAGCAATCCTAATGTTCATATGGAACAACAAAAGACCACAAATAGCCAAAGAAATCCTAAGCAAAAAAATAAATAAATAAAGCTGGAGCCATAACACTACCTGACTTCAAATGATATTACAAAGCTATTGTAACCAAAACAGTGTGGTACTGGCATAAAGACAGACACTCAGATCAATAGAACAGAACAGAAAGCCCAGGAATTAACCCACATACTTACAGCCAACTGATCTTTGACAAAAGCAGCAAGAACATACATTGGGGAAAAGACTCCCTCATCAATAAATGGTGCTGGGAAAATTGGACATTCATACGTAGAAAAATGAAACTGAGCCTGTACCTCTCACCGTATACCAAAATCAACTCAAAATGGGTTAAAGACTTAAATATAAGACCTGAAACCATGATATTACTAAAGGAAAACATAAAAGAAACACTCCACGTAGTAGGACTGGACAAAGACTTTATGAATAAGACCCCAAAAGCACAAGCAACGAAAAAAATAATAAATAAATGGGATTACATCTAACTAAAAAACTTCTGCACAGCAAAGGAAACAATCAACAGAGCAGAAAGATAACCAATGGAATGGGAGAAAATCTCTGCAAACTATACATCTGACAAGGGATAATATCCAGAATATACAAGGAACTCAAACAACTATATAGTAAAAAAAAAACAACAAAAAACAAAAACCAAATAATCCAATTGAAAAATGGGCAAAGGAGATGAACAGACATTTTTCAAAGGAAGACATACATCCTTTATGGCCAATGGGTACATGAAAAAATGCTCAGCATCACTAATCATAAGAGAAATGCAAATCAAAACCACACTGAGAGATCATCTCACCCCACTTAAACTGGCCATTATTAAAAAGACCAAGAATAACAAATGCTGGTAAGGATGTGGGGAAAGGGGAACTCTTATACACTGTTGGTAGGACTGTAAATTAGCATAGCATTATGGAAAACAGTATGGAAGTTTCTCAAACAACTATAGATAGAACTACCATATGACCAGCAATCCCACTACTGGGTATATATCTAAAGGAATGGAAATCATAATGTTGAAAGGATACCTGCACTCCCATGTTTACTGCAGCTCTATTTATAATAGCCAAAATATGGAACCAACCTAAGTGTCCATCGACGGATGATGGGATAAGGCAAATATGGTATATATACACAATGGAATACTATTTGGTCATAAAAAAGAATGAAATTCTGTCAATTCACAGAACATGGATGAGTCTGTAGAAAATTATGTTAAGTGAAATAAGCCAGACAAAGAAACAGAAATACCACATGTTCTCACTCATAACTGGCTGCTAGAAAAGAAGAGAAGGAGGGAGGGAGGGAGGAAGGGAGGGAGAGAGGGAGAGAACCATGGAGAGGCTCATTTCACATGAGCAAAGAGAATATTACTGTGAAGGGGTG